CGTGTGAGTGGCCGGCGTGAGAATGGCCGGCGTGTGAGTGGTCATGCTCGTCGTGAGATGAACAGCTGTCAGAGGTTGGGCAGTCCCAGTGGCTGTCGAGGCAAATGCAAACGATCAGTTTCCCTTCCTTTTGGAACATTTGTAAGAGAGACTTACCTTCCGTGCAGATAGCAGCCAGGCGTGGCCGTCGGGCTCGGCTGAATGACCAGCGTGGTCAAAGTGCCATCAAGTCGGATGGTGGTGGTGATGAGGCCCTGCTCAACGACATCCTGTCGCTTCTGCAGAGGTTGGATGTGGACTTCGGATTGCGTTTGTGGCGCAACGGTCGGCAGCGGGCCCGAGAGAGCTGCGACAGATGTGCTGAGGAGCAGTAACACGGAGCTAAAGAGAGGCAAGAAGTGCATCTTGAGGGTGCAAACAGATTATATCCTTGGGGGTGACCGGTGGACGCTGGAGAAGGTGAATTGGACGAAGGAGACACTGAAGAGTCGACACCCCGACATCCACGAGCGTACTTTATAGGGTGTGAAGAGGCGAAGGCCTTCAATCGGCGGTCCCTTGATCGCGAAGCTCCTCATTTTGCTTCATGCTACTTCGCCACCCTATGCAAGTCGTCTTTACCCTTTCGACCTTCATTGGACGAGCAGCAAAAATTTGCTCTTCGGAAGAGATGCGCCTTTTTCGAGGATGCCAAGAGATGTCGATGGCCGTCCTGTATCCTCGCTGGCGTATCCGCGGTGCTTCGGATGAAAGGAAGAGGGAGGCGCACGGACGTCATCGCCCATGTGCGAAACAGAGAACGCACAGAGAAGTGGGCGATGGGACCCCCCCTTTCCCAATCGTAATCTACGCGTCTTGGCATCTTGACCACCAAGGTCCACATTTCCTTTTTCTGCGATGCCTTCCTCCTCCTCTCCTGGCAGCCCTCTTCATCAGTGATTCGGTTGCGCTCGCTACCAGCAAGGTCCCCTTCGTTTCATACCCAAGATTTCGTGCCACGGCCGCACAGTACTTCCGTACCTCGCAATCAAATAGACTCCACCGAGTAGGGCCGCATTCTGTTACCATCAAAACGACCCGCTGCCCTTCCTCTGATGATCTCCGGACCACAGTAGCGCACTCTCACACCGCAGAGTCCATTTGGCAACCTTGTTTCGTCTTCCATCGCCTCTTCCGATGAGGACTGGCATCACAGAGGAATCTTGCATGCCAAGAATTGACAACTGGGGCTTGTCCTCCCAATACCTTTTTTTCTCGCCGTGCATACTCATGACAGAGCAGCCCCTACCTTGTTCAGACGAGATTCGTCCCAAAGAAAATGTTCCCGCGCTCCTTCTTGCTACAGCAGCGAGAAGAGGACCTTGAGGAAAATTTGTCGTCCAGAAGGGTGAGGCCGGGGGAGGTACCACGGCGGTTACGGTAGCGGATGGCAGAGCAAGGAAGGGTGCGATCGAACGAGCATTTAAAGAGGCCAGGATGAAGGAAGGTCTCCCCCCCCCCGTCTATGCCATCATCACCCTCTTCTCTCAACGTCTCTCAACAAAATGCAGTTCTCCGCTGCCTTCCTTTCCGCGCTCCTCGTCGGCGGCGCTTTCGCCGCGCCATCCTCGTATGCCTCGGACGGCAGCCTCGCTCCACGCGACCCTCTCAATGCTGGTCAGCTCTTTCCGTCGCAAGCGGCCGCTACTGTTGAGCCCGTATTTGCCCGCGCGGACGTGGAGTACCTCAAGGACGTTCCGATCCACTCCTCCTGTAACGCCACACAAACGGCGCAGATCAAGGCCGGGCTAGACGACATGGTGGTGCTTGCACAGTCCACCATCGACCACGTTTTGCGCCATGGTCGCGACGAGCTCTTCACCACCTACTTTGGTGAGGAGGGAGACACGGCACCAGTCATCGGTATAATGACTCAGGTCATCAGTCGGAACAAGCAAGGGATGGTCATCCGTTGCGACGACCCAGACGCCAAGTGCAACCAGGAAGGCTGGTACGGATACTGGCGTACCGAAGTGCAAAGCGAGACCAACATCTGCGATCTCTCCTTCCCCACTCGTCGCAGGCTGCCGCAGATCTGCGGGCTTGGCTGGACCGTCGCTGGCTCAAACAGCGCCTTGTTCTGGGGCGCCGACTTCCTACACAGGCTGTGAGTTACATCCATTCTGCTGTGCACATCCGCAGGTCTGATGGCTGATGGACTCCGCTCCCTCGGTGCAGCTTCCACGTGCCTCAGATCAGCAACGAGAAAGTTGTTCATGCTGCAGACTCTTACCTCGAGGTTCTCGAGCTCGCCAAGAAGAACGCAAGCGCCGCCGTGCTTAACCAGCACTCCCTGCAGTACTTTGCCCTAGATGTCTATTCGCGCCAGCAAGTGCCAGGTGGCTGCTTGGGCACGCCCGAGCCTGTGATCTCTGCCACCGCTGCGCCGGCCGCGTCCACCCCGGCTGTGTCCGCCTTAACGCCCTCGCCCGCTGCGACTGCCGCCCCCGCCGGAGTTATCAAGGACTGCCACTCGCATGCAGACGGCACCATCCACTGCGGCGCCGACTAGGATGCATCGCATAAGCCCGTTATATGTGAGCACTTCATGTAAGTAATAAGGGAAGATCATGGTCAATTTGATCACTTCTCAGGCGCGTAAAGATCATCTAGAGTGTCGGTCTTCCTCTGAGCCCTCGTGCTTGGCTGGTTACGTTAGCTTTGCCGACCAAGTGGCGCATATCGCTCACAATGAGGCCGCCGACCGATCAAGCATTCTGCAGCTCATTCGCCAACATTTTCTTCGGCTTCTCTTCGCGAGACCCCAGGCTCATCTGCTCGCCAGTCCACTGCATTAGACCCCAACCTGGGTGAGCATCTACCATATCCGAGTAGTTGAATCTGGCCATGATCGGTCGCAATGGCTTGTTGCAACACGGAAAACGAGGAGAATGGCAGTGGGCAAGTCAGACAAACTTGACGAACGTACATCGTTGCACCGACTACCACGTCAGCATTCACTCGA